GAACCTTGTCATCTCAACTTTATAGCAGCTGGGCAGGTCTCGAAACCTCTTGGAGCCTCAGTTTTTTCATCTATAAAATGGGGTTTCTAATCTCCCTTCACAGAGAGGGTTGCCCCTCACTGAGCTCCCAACCAGGCTGTTGCAAGAAATAAACCAGCTAGAAGGCATCTGCAGAAGTTCTCTCAAACAGCAAAGGGCTCCCAGGCAGCATGTGAGGGGCCAAGAGCCATAGGTACCGTCAGCTCAGGCCACCCCACAGGGGAGGCTCGGGAGCGGTGACCGGAGGACCAGGAGTGGCACCAGGAGCAGCCTCCACCTCGGGAGCATGGCCTCCTGCCTCCTGCAGACTGCACAGGAGCCTGGTTCTGCCTGGGCTTGGCCTCCATCCAGCTCCTGCCTGGCTTTCCGGGTGATGGCCTGGAGTCACGTGGCGGGGAGTGCCGCAGAGTGGGGTGGGCATCTCACGTGAACAGTGGTCCGACTGGAACTCTTGCTGGGGGTAGAAGGAGGGAGCTCCTGGGGTCTTTCCATAGCTTATTATTTCATCTATGAGCAAGCTCAGGAGTGAGCCATCCCATCCCCTTTCTCCTCAAGCTGAGGAAACTGAGGCTTAGAGAAACATGAGAATGTCCCAAGGTCCCAAGCAAGTTGGTAACGGAACTGCGTTTTACAATCCAGATGCCCAAATCAGGTATCTAGAACTGTGACAGTGTGAGCTGCCACCCCTTGCTGAATGTTTACTGTGCACCCCACACTCTGCATGTGCACGGCCCTTGAGGTAGGGATTATTGCATCAGCTTTACAGAGGAAGAGACTGAGATTCAGACTCACGAGCTGTTAAGTGGCAAAAGCAGAATTTGCTTAGGGCATGGTTTAAGAGTAGGTGCAGTCACTGCAGGCTGTACCTGAGCCTGCTGGAGGTGAGCAGGGCCCAGGGTCCCTGATAAGGTGTGGCTTTTCCACCTTGGGCTCTAGGCCTAGAGGAAGGCCCAGGATGAGGACCATGCCAGATAGCTGGACTGAAATTGAACCCGCTCTGGGCTGTGTCAGGATCCACACAGACCTGGCTGGCAGGTAGAGACCTTGCTGGGGTCTAATGGAGCCGAGGTGGAGATATGAAACTAGGGCTCCATCCTTTAAGACCCAAGCTGAGTCACCTCCTCTTGGGAGCCTCTCCCAAACCCCAGTCCACGATGACTTTCATGTCCTCCGAAGTCCTCTGCCCTTCTCTGCCAGAGTGATTCCTGGGGCCTAACACAGTGCATGTGGATATTTGCTGATTAATAACCTTTCTGGCATGCTGGCTGTGAGCCAGTCACCATGAGGGACCCGAGGAAGGCATGAAAGCTTAGGTCATTCTGTCAACAAAGCCACCTAGGGCTCCAGCTCATCCCAGCCCCTGCCCTGCAAGGACCCCACACACCCCACACCCCTCCTTGAATGCCCCACACTCACCGTCCTTGGTGACATCCTGATGATCGCAGGAAAGTAGGAGACAAAAAATTCCCATAAATAAAGTAGACTCCCTCCTCCCCTGCCCAGAATCTTATCATCATTTTGCTATATTTACTTCCGGCCTTCTTTCTCCTCTTTCCCTCTATTTTTTCATTTTTCAAAACATGGAATCGGGCACACTCTGGTGTAACCCGCTTCGCTCGTTCACGGGATGGGTGGTGAGCATGCAGCCCATTTTCCCACCACACGGCATTTCAGCAACATGACTTGGCTACTTGAAATTCCCCAGACATAGCATAATTAAAAAACGTATCCCCTCTGGCTGGGCATGTAGGTTACCTTCACTTCTGGGCTGCAATAAGCAACCTGCAGCTACTGCCTCAGGACGCCTTTCTGGAAGGTGAGTGTCTTGGCCAGGGGATATCACACATGCACTTTGGAGCCTCTGAACCTTTGCACAGGCTGTTCCCTCTGCCCAGCTACCCCTCTCCCATTGACCCCTAGATTCTCCTGCAGCACACACACTGCCTCCTCTGGAGTGTCCTGGCTGCATATGCTGCTCTCCTTGCCCCGGGCTGCCCTCTTCTCCCCAGTGTCATGAGTATCTGCTGACCTTCTGCTTCTCCCAGGTCAGAGTGCCTTCCTTCTCTTCCTCCTCTGCCTGGGCCTCCAGCACGTAGTAGGCGCCTAGGAAATGCTTTCCAGCAGAACGAGCCATCTCCTGGCTGGTTTAGCAGTGTGGGATTGTGTGGTGTTTCTATTAGTCTCCATGAACAAGTGCCACTGTGTTATTAAATTTTTCCAAAAGCAGAATGTGTGCTGTGTTTGCCAGAATGGTTGCTCTTTTAGGAGTGGCTCTATCCTGCCCATCCCACACTCCTCATTCCCTCATCTTTTAGGGACCATTCCCTGGGAAGCTACAGAGTGCCAGGCCCTGTGGGATGCAGCACTAGGCTCCGGGGAGGCTGACCTCTGGGGTGCAGCCTGACCCAGGGGAGGCATGAGGGCTACGTGAGACGGTGTGGGTCAAGCTGAGAGCTCCGTGCCTGGGCCTGGGTGGTGCAGGTAGCACCAGGCCCCTCTGGTGGAGAGCTCACGCTAGGCTTCAAAGGAAGTGCCGAGTGCCAGGCATATGGTAGGTGTTCATTAAATGTGTACCCTGGGAAGGTAGGAGATGATGTTCTGGGAGATGAGGGTAGTTCTGGTAGGACTGGAAGTGGTGAGGAAGCTGGCCTTGGAGGACAAATGTCACAGGAACCTCTGCTCTCGACCCAAGGACCAGGAAGGCACATTTGTCACTGTCCTTTGTAATCTCCGGAGGCCACAGCCAAGCTGTGGCTTTGTCCCAGGCAGGCGACAGGTGGGGTCTGCTGAGACACTGAGTCCAAGCCGCCTTCCCAGGCAGGCATGACAGTTTTCTCCTTCACCTCCCTCAAAGTTACTGTGCTCAGGAAGCTTGCAGCCTAGGAGAAGAAAGAGGCTCCCGGGTGGAGTTTGGGATTCCCCGAGAGAATTAGGGTCTAAAGACAAGGAAGCAGGAGCGGGTGACTGCCTGAGGACCCCTCGGCCAGCCCCTGCCCCCCATCTCTGGCCTCAGGGCCCCAGGCCTCCATCCTCCCCCTCCATAGCCCAGCCTCTCCCTCTCTACCTCTGTCTTTAGAGGTGCCAGAACAAGCTCTAAAAAGATAAACCTGACCAAGTCACAGCCCTGCTCAAAAACCCTCTATGGCCCCCACTGCCCCTGATAAAGTCTGTCCAAGGCTCTTCCTGATCTGGCTTCTGTTCCCTCACTCCCAACCTTGCCACCTCATCTCCCTCCTCTTGCTTTTCCTTTGTCTCTAGCCCTACTGAACTCACATGCCAAGGCCTTTGCATGCTCCATTCCCTCGGCCTGGATGTCTTTTCCAGGCCTTCTCCCCTGGCATACACTCATTCAACTGGGCTGTCCCCACCTCCAGGAAGCCACACCGGATGGCTGTCCTCAAGGGCAGAACAGGCCTGAGGGGCCCACAGAGGCTGTCCTTGGGGATGATGTGATGTGTGTGTTGGCCAAGGAGACTCACAAGCATTTGTGGAGGGGCCTTGAGCCTCTGAGGAGCCACAGCCCCTTTTCGTCTTCCTCTCGGTCTGGGAGGCCCAGGCCAGAGTGATCTGCACCCTAGCTATACAAGGTCCTGGGACCCCTGTCCCACTCGCGGCGGGGGGCTGGAAGCCACAGGGCCTCAAACTCCCCAGGGTGACCCCTGACACTGAGGGTGATGCTCTCCGCTCTTCCCAGCAAGGCAGGGCCTCTTTACAACGGGTGTCGCGCCCTCTGAGGTCCTGACTTGTTTACCTGTCCCGTTGGGGCTCAGGCTGCCGCAGGCTACCTGCTGTGCCCGGGTTTGGGGACCTGGGACTCTCCAGGGGAAGAGATGGTGGCCCGGGAGGAGGACCCCAACCTATTCAGACTGGGAGCTGGGGTCAGAGTGTCTCCGTCTCCGGAGGGGGACCTTTCAGACCCCGGGCGGGAGGGGCCCGGAGCAGGGTGCCCTGGCGGCCCCAGGAGGGGGTCCCGGCCTCGGGTGAGGGCTGCGGCGCCCCGGAAGGAGCCGCGCACGCCCCTGCACGCGGTGCCCGCCGCGGCGGCCGCGGATCCGGAGGTGAGAGCGCCCCCGCCCCGCTACCCGCCCAGCCCGTGCGCGGCCCGGCCCGGGGCTGGGGGGCGGGCGCGGATAGGGGCGCGGTGGGGCGGCCCCCTCCCTTTTCCGCAGCGCGGGCCCCGCTCCTCCTCCCGCGTCCAGGCCAGCGGCCGCGCTCCCTGTTCCTCCGCAGCGGGATGCGGGCTCCGGGCCCGGGCGGGGGCCGAGGGCCGAGGCCTGGCGGGCCTGGCTGGGGCCCCGGCAGGCGGCGGTGCAGGGGCCGGGACCCAGGCCGCGAGCGCGCCCCTCCCGGCGGCCGGGTGCGGGGAGGCTGGGAGGGCGGGCGGGGGGAGGCGGGCGGCGGCGGGCGGGGGGGCGGCGGGGGGGGGGGGGGGAGTGGGGGCAGGCGGCGGGGGCGGCGGCGGGCGGGGGGAGCCAGGGAGGCTCGGAGCCTCGCGGCGCGCGGGCGGGCGGCGGAGGGGGCGCGGGGAGCCCCCCGCCCCCCGAAGGAGGAGTCTGGCTCCCACTTGCAGCCTCGGACGCGCGGCAAGGCGGCCGCCGCCGGAGGAGCCCCCGCCCCTGCGCGCCTCCCTCCCGGGAGCCCCTGCCTCCCTCGGTGCGCGCTGCTGCTCGCGGCCGCCGCGGCCGCCGAAGAGGAGCCCGGGGCCAGGTAGGACCGGGGACGGGCGGGGCGCGGCGGGCGCGGGCGGGGGGCCGGGCGCGGGGCGCGGCCGGGACCCTCTCCAGGCGCTGGGCAACGCCCGCGGCGCTGCGCAGGGGCGCCCGCAAAGTTACTTTGGCCGCCTTTGCCGGGTGCGGGAAGCGGTCTGGGCACCCCAGCTGCCCCGCCTGCCGAGCAGGCGCCGGCGGGAGGGGGCTCGGCCAGGGCGCGGGACTCCGGCTGGGGCCGCGGGGTCAGCGAAACTTTTCCTTTGCTCGCCAGTCGCTGCTGGCTGCTGGCGGAGTAGCCGGTGGAAGCAGCGGGCTGGTGGGGTGCCAGTGATGATGATGGTGGTAACAATAGCAGCCTCTGCTTGTGGAGAGCCTACTGTGTGCTCAGCCAAGCCGCTGCTGGCACTTGGGGGGAAGAAAGGGGGGACTAACGCTGGCCGAGTGGCCACTTTTGCTAGGTATTGCTGGAAACTTCATCCATTTCCTTCCATTCATTCATCCCTCCCTCCCCTCCATCCATCCATCCATCCATCCACTCACTCAACACATATTTATTCCTGTCTGCTATGTGCCCGGCCAGGGGATTCAGTGGCTACCTAGACAGGTCCCAGCCCTCAAAGGGAATGTTGATCATGGAATGCCCAAGCTAAGGAGCGGTTCTGTCTCCTGTGTGTTTGTTCTGGGACATGTTACAGGAGCGTGAATTCGTGCACAGTCTCCCTTCACCTGGGTAGGGCCAGAGGTGTGTCATTCAGAGCACTGATGTGCCCAGGAGTCTGGCAGGCCCCGGCTTGACCTTTGGGACTCACTCTTCTCCTTTCCCTCCCACCTCTCCAGGCTCAAGCTGGGTGGCCCAGTTGGTGTCAGGAGGCTCCACTCCGGAACTGGCCCCCACTCCTGTCCAGCTGACCTCTCCGGGATGTCTCTTCCCCAGTGCTGGGCTGGCCTGGCTCCCACCTCCCCTCCCTGAGTTTCTTTGCCTTCCCCCTCCCCATTTCCCGGGCTCCATTGAATGGCCCAGAGGAGAGCTTGTTAAGTGGCAAACAATTATGAAATTAAACTGGGGGAACAAAAGTGGGCTGGCTGTTGAATGGTGGAGCTGGCTCACGGGAGTTGAATGGCAGTGGGAGACTTGTTAGCAGGGATCTGAGGCGCTGGGGGGCGGGGGCGGGTCAGGCAGACAGGCACTGTCAATAGTCTGACTGGACTTTAAAAAAAAAAATTAAACCAACTTGGTGAGAAACCTGGCACAGGGCTAACCATGCTTTAGGGGATGTTGGAGAGGCCACCAGCTGACTGCCACGTCCAGTTGGCAAGAGACTATTTGGGGAGGGTGCTGATGGATTCGGCCGTCCGAGGCAGGGGAGAATCTCAGGGCGTTTGAGCTGGTGGAGCTAGGCAGGCATTCTGGAGTCAGGCGCGGTCTACAGGGGCCCACTGTGTGGGAACCATGCATGATAAACTGCACTTCACCGTGCTGGGCTCCTTGCAAATTGGCTTTCCGAGTGGCAGCCCCACAACACTTGTAAAATCTTTTTCTCGAGATGGATGTCGGTGGAATGGTTCCATTGATTCTAGTGCGCGCTGGTTGGAGGTACATTAATTGGGCGATGACTAGTCAAAAGGCGATAATCCAGTCACGGAGGCTTAATGGTGTGTTTGGAAGTGTTTCAACCTGGGACTGCCTTCCTGTTTATTTCTCGGCCCCAGGAATTTCGGAAGACCTGGATTGAATGAGGTCCCTGTATTGGTGATGTGGATGGGTTCAGAGAGTCACCTACATGGCCGAGGAGGTACCTCTGATGTAACCACCCCATGGCACGCTTAGAATCACTCACATCCACTCTGGCTGATGCCCTGTGGGCTGTGCCTGTGGACACATAGGACAGGTTTAGATCTAGGTGAACAATAAGAATTTTAGGGTGTTTTACTTGAGCCCCAACTGTCAGGAATACACAGACTGATGTAGGGAATCATTGTTCTTGAAAAACCTGCTTTTAATAAATTCCCAGCTCACCCGTGAGACTCTTAAATCTTCATCCAATGAATGTGGCTTAAGTTCATTTGTTCTTCTTTGAACTTGCTACCTTCCCACCTAGGCAGTACGGGCCTTGGCGTGCTCACTTTATACAGGACACATCTCTCTGTACTTGTTTGAGGAATTAGGGTGGTCGCTGGGTTTCCCTGAAGGGTAGCATTCAAGGAGAAAAACCAGCATTCTGGGTGCAGGTTTGGACTTCTGGAAAAAAAAGAAAACCCTCCCCAAAGTGCAATCATTTTTTAATCTATCAAAATGACTTCATTTTCCCAATTTCAGGCCTGTGAACTGATCATGAATACCAGGGCAGAGGAAATTAATCAGCCAGGCAAAGACTTTTAACAAGTAAATATTATGCACAGAAAAACATGCAATTAGTGGAGGTTAGTTAATGCCTTTCAAGTTGCATCGAGCTGCAGTTAAGGGTGGAATTTCTGCGTTATCCCTGAATTGTCTGTCAAAGTCTTTAATGTGACAATGTGACATGTCTCTCCCATCGCCCCTCCCTCACCGGGAACAAAAAAGGGTCTTTTCACTAATTCCCCCTTTCCATTCTTCTTCTCCCTGAGATCTTTCCGTTCAGCAGTAAGTACCTTTGTCTGCCTGCCCCTCTGGAGCAAGGGTCCTGGGCAAAGGGCTCCCCAGGTGCAGAGGCCTGGGAATAGCTTCTCAGGCTCGCTCCATATCCACGGATCAAAGTCGATGGCACCTCCGATAAGAGTTAGGGGCCTGCCTTCTGGCCTGGGCACCTCACCCTCTAGGACCAGAAGTTTCCAACACTTGGGGGTGGCAGGGAGAAGAGGGGGTGAAGGGACTGTTTCCCACAGCAAGAACCGTTTAGTGTAGCCTGGGGCAGTCTGAAAGCCATTCCCTGCAGCCCTCGTTCCTGCTGTGTGGATGTCCCCATGTAGTGAGACTGAAGTTGTCTGACTTGAGTTTGAAGAGGTGACTAAAATGTCAAAAGCAAAAAAAAAAAAAAAAAAAAAAAAATTGAAAGAAACAAAAACCCCCAGGGGAAAAAAATAAGAGACCCCTTTTTGGGGGCGGTATTGGAGGAAAGGTATAAATTGCTTCTCAGTTAATTTGATTCACCATGGCTCTCCTCAGTGACCTGACAGGTCTGCTACCAACACAAATATTTTACTTTATTTTGACTTTTTTTCCCCTAATGAGACAAGACTTAGTTATGCTTTATTTCCACTTAAAATATCTGTGACCGATGAGGACAGCCCAATTCCATGAAAAAATCATAACAAATTGAGATTATAGGTATTATTTTTGAAATCAAATTGTGATTTGAGGTGTTCATTGGGCTTTTCAGGCCTTTTTGTGAATCACTCTGTGGGGGATTTTCTTGGACCTGAACTTGGCCAGCTTAATGTCAGAACCAGGTCGTCATCATAAATAGAAGCAGCTGCAGGAAAAAAAACATACATAAAATTCTCCCTTCTGGTTGACTCTGCTCTGCATCCAGTTCAAAGCCAGGGATGAGTAGGCTCCTCTTTCCACCACCCCAGTCTACACCTGAAAGTTTGTTTCTGTAAAATGTGACTTGTCTGTTGCCCACCTTCGCATTCCCGTCTCCTCCTTCCAAGAAGGATGTGAGGCTCAGCACTGATGCACAAGAAGAGACTTTTGGCATCGCCCATGCTAATTTCATCACTTCAAGGAGAAAATGATGCCTGCTTCCAATTTCTAACGCTCTTATCGTTTCCTCTTCATTTCATTTTTTTGCATTTTACGGACAGTACTGCAGTCTGCAAGCCTGCAAAATATATTGCATTGGCTACCTGAGAAATGTAATCCCTTCCTTCAACCTGCCTTTCCCTTCTTCCTGACAAAGCGCTTTTTAGTGTCTCAGTGTTCACAGAAAAGGCAAAGGTTCTCTCCCCCAACCCTTTTTCTGCCCTGGGCTCCCCGCACAGCACGGGTGCTGAGGGGCTGGTGAGAATGGAGTTTTGCTTTTGTTAAGTTTGTCATTCAGACACATTAGTGAATTGATCATACTTGGGAGTTTTAATCCTTAATTGCAAATTCCCGCACGATCACAAAACATACACTTGAACTGATCATAAAAATGGCAAAACCCCAATATCAGACTTAAGTGTAGAATTGCCATAGTGCTGATTTGATTATGCTTCAGTGACATCTGTTTAATAGATTTCCACAAGAACTGTAAATCCACATTTACTTTCTTTGCAAATTGTATTTGAATACTGAGCAACCACAGCCCTCTAGCATCTTCCCCTCCCTAGCCATGTATGTGCTCAACCCCCATTCCTGTGGAGGGTGACTTGATGTATAAGTGGGAAGGGGACACAATGCTGAGTTTTACACATTTACCTCCTATTTCCTTTTGTGTGTGGGTATGTCTGTGTGCATGTTTGAAACAGATCTGAACAGCTTACCATTTCAACTCCATAGATACGTGACTCTCCAAGTGCTTTATTTTGAAAACTAGGACGTAGCACTTTGCAGAAGAAAAATCAGTCCACTTGCTATTGTTTATGTGATCGCTGATCTGCTAGATGGATATAGAAAGCACCAAGAATTATAATAATTTATGGAGTGGAGCACTGGTTTACAAACATATTTCTCTGCCCGAGCTTTGTGGGTTTCTTTGCGTCTCGGGGCTCGTTCCGTGCAATGGGAACGGAGAATATTCAGAATCTGAAGACAAGCCCGGCGAGCCGACTGCATTCATAGCTAAAATTAAAGGAATAAGTGAGCAGCTATTTGTGGCAGACAGGACATGATCCAGTAAGTAGCACTCTTCATATTCCGAAATAAAAGTACATAATTGGAAAATGAAGCGGCAGAGACTGCTGGGGGGTGGCGGTGGTGAGGAATTAGAAAGTGTAATTTAAAATCATGTAGTCATAATTCAAAATGGGCCCAGCTAAAAGGTTTTTAAGTGGTAAATGCTTTAAAGTCACTGTGGTTGATCCTTTTTCAAGGAATAGGGGCTAATTTTCACTTTATTTGTGGATTCCTTCATCTACTGAGCTCATCAGCTTATTCAACTTAGATGCTAATACCAGCTGCTGGTCAGTGTTGCTTTTCCTTGGGATCCCACACTTGATTGGGAAGGAGATCAAACACAAAGGTCTGTCATTTTAGGACATGGTGGGACGAGGTCTGATTTTTTTTTCTCCCATTAGGGTATTTGCTTCTTTTCCTTTGAGTTGCTCTGCTTTTTTTTTTTTTCTTTTATGGCATTGTCAACTATCAGCTCATCAATTGCATATTTTCAAGCAGAGGCAAAACAAGGAAAGCAAATATGATTTTAAAAGTGATTTTTGGGCTTGTGTAGGCATCGTCGCTTGTAAAACAATTCTCCCCAGATCCCTACATCTTGGTACTTTTCTGTTAAATATTATCTCCTGCATTTTGCTTGGGGGGACCACTTAGGAAGTGTTAGCGTGGTTTCTCTGTGACATTTTGCCACATTGTGACAAAAGCCCTAGTAAGCACTGCCTTCGCTGAGCCGAGCCGGCTTTTTCTCTGCATCGCCCTGAGCCACCGGCCTGAAGACAGGCAGCTGCACTTGGAGCTGGCCCGTTGGAGAGGCTGGGGCTATTCAGTCGCTCCTGCTCTCAGTTAAAGGCCCCAAGAGGAGACGGAGCCAAGGTGCGTCTAGGATCCTGCGAAAGCTTTCCAAGGTGGGGTTCCTCAGAATGCCGCAGCGGGGACGGCTGTTGGGGGAGATGTTTCTCTGGAAGCTTCTCATGCTTAATAAGACAGTGGTTTCTGTGTGCTCATTGACTGTCATTGAGTTTTGGACCCAGGACAGCACCATACTGTCCTAGCCCCCCAGTGATTGTTAAAGAGCTGCCGACAGAATGGAAGAGAAACACAGGTGGGTTCTGGGGATGGCTGCCTTACCGGCCTGGCACTGGCTTTGATCAGAGTGACCTTTCCCTTCCAAACGAGAGCACTTTCGAGAGCCGAAGAGGATGCTGGTAACGGTGGCACCGGGACAGTCGATGTGAACCGGGGCTGTCCCGGGCCCGTGCTGACTTTGAGGAGCCTGTGTTGGCTGGGAGCGATGCTTCAAGTCACATGGTGAAGCGAAATCTATCTTTGGTCTGCAGGGCAGCAGCTCCTCTGGTAGTGTAATGCTCCAAGATCTTCCTCACACATCTTCGGACAGATAGGGGCCACCAGAATGATCCAAGAATCTCTTTTGCAAAAATCCATCTGCTGTTGAGATGCTCTGTGTGAGCCAAGGCCTCGCTCACTCTCTCTCCTTCCTGGGCCTTCAGCACACACTGGCTGGCCTTGCTGTTTGGTGGGGGCCTTGTTAGGGGCCCACAGACCCCCTCCACTGCAACTCCTCGAAACAGAGTTCTGAGGAGGTCTGTTGTCTGCCTGGCTGCTTTGTCAGGTCTGAGCCCTTGGAGGGCTAGTTTCGTGTCTGGGTCCTGTGACTCCCAGAACAGGACCTGGCCCAGAAAAGGATCTGGCCCAGAGCAGGAGCAGCAGCGGGTGCGCTGGGGCTGACCAGTGCCCTGCAGTGTCCAGATCGGGGTGGTGGTGAAGAATTTGCCTAGAAAAATGAGTCGAGGGCGGGTCGTAGTGGATGTGTCCAGCCACAACTCCCTGGGAAGTCAAAGCCCCAAAGACTTACTCAGTAGGGCGAGAGGGAAGGGGTCAAGCACCCTGGGCTTTCAGGCAGGAGAGGACGGGTTGCTTGAAAATCCCTTCTGTGGCCGGGCGCGGTGGCTCACGCCTGTAATCCCAGCACTTTGGGAGGCCGAGGCGGGTGGATCACAAGGTCAGGAGATGGAGACCATCCTGGCTAACACGGTGAAACCCCGTCTGTACTAAAAATACAAAAAATTAGCCGGGCGTGGTGGCACACGCCTGTAGTCCCAGCTCCTTGGGAGGCTGAGGGGCAGGCGAATGGCGTGAACCCAGGAGGCGGAGCTTGCAGTGAGCCGAGGTCGCACCACTGCACTCCAGCCTGGGCGATGAGCGAGACTCCGTCTCAGAAAAAAAAAAAAGGAAAACCCATCTGCATTCTTGAAATTTCCCTGGGGAGCTTCTGAGTTCATCAGAACATTCTAACTGGAGGAGAACAGACATGGAGTGAGCACCTCCTGCGTGTTGGGCCCTGGCAGGGGGCTTTTGGATCTCCTGTGTCCTTCAGTGCTCCAGCAGCCGTACGTTTGTAGATGAAAAACTAAGATTAAGGGGGGCAAAGCTGCTTTGGAGTCCTGCTGTCAGACTCAAAGCCCTGTGTAGTTTCTCTCATTCATTCATTCATTCATTCATTCACGTACCAGTTTATTCTTTGGCGTTTCATTCAGCTCAGATAAAAAGCCGACTGTGTGTTGGGAGCTTTGATACAGGAAGCCTTGGGGGCTGTGGGTGGAGGCTCCTGACCCAGCCAGGGGAGGTCAGGGAAGGTGTTTTCGAGGTTCTGAACCTTCCTGAGACTGAGTGGGCATGTGTCAGGAAACGAGGGTGAACGCAGGGGTGGGGCTGGGTGCAGGGCCTTCTGGGCAGAGGGAATAGCATTCATGGAGGCTTCAAGACAGGACCCCCTCTGTGCCAGGGAAAGCCTGCATGACTGAACTGGGCCTGAGAAGTGGGAGTGGGACTGGGGCCAGGTGCAGCCTCCTCAGCTGACCTGAGGCACTGAGCTTCACCTGAGTGCGCCAGCGGCTCTGGAGGGGCTGGGTGTGCCAGAGGGAACGGCACGGGCAGAGGTGAGTTCTAGGATATTCCTTCTGGAGGCTGGTGTGGTGTGGCCATGGTGATGAGGGGTCAATACGGCCAGGAGACCAGACAAGTTTGGGGGTGGAGGGGCGGTCAGAGAGAGGCACAGAGAGGTAGGGCCTGGAGTCTGACCTCTTTCCTAGACACCAGCTTTCCATACAGTTGGCGTCGAATGGGACCTGCTCCTTGGTGTCTTGGCTAACACCCAGGTTCTCCTTGGAGCACCCTGGCCTGACTGAACTCACAGTACCCGAGGAACAACAAATAAATGTCTCTGAGAGGAAAATAGAAAGAGAAACCATCTGATAAGAGAATCAGACTTGGGAAAAGCAAGCCCTTAGAACCAGAGGGAATTTTTCAAGGAGTGCTGGGCTGGGGGGACCTGGAGTCTCCCATTCTGGGTTCACTGGGCCTTTATGGGCAGGTCCAAGGCTCATTCCAGCCCCTCGGTAACCCCTCAAGGGGACCACTGAAGAAGTGGAAACAGAGGTTGAGTGACTTGCCCAACGTCCCACCGCTCAGCAGCCTGAGATGGAATTTAATGGGAACCCCACTTCTTCTGACTTCAGAGTCCAGGCCGTCCTCCATGGCAGACGCATGCCAGTGACCGGTGACAATGAAAGAGTGAGGCCATTTATCCAGGCCGCCCGGGCCTCAGGGACCTAGCACTTCCCCTCCCTCTGCCCGGCTTCTCATTCCCCAGGTCTGGGCATCGCTGTTGTCATTGGTATGTGAGGTGAGGCCCCTTCAGATAGCCTTTTTTTTTTTTTTTTTTTTTTTGAGATGGAGTATCACTCTGTTACCCAGGTTGGAGTGCAGTGGCCCGATCTCGGCTCAATGCAACCTCCACCTCCCGGGTTCAAGTGATTCTCCTACCTCACCCTCCTGAGTAGCTGGGATTACAGGCATGCGCCACCACACCTGGCTAAGTGTATATTTTTAGTAGAGACGGTGTTTCTCCATGTTGGTCCTGGCTAAGTTTATATTTTTAGTAGAGACGGTGTTTCTCCATGTTGGTCAGGCTGGTCTCGAACTCCCGACCTCAGGTGATCCTCCCGCCTCGGCCTCCCAGAGTGCTGGGATTACAGGTGTGAGCCATCATGCCCAGCACAGATAGACCTTTCTTGATCACCCAATTTAATCACCCCATCACCCTGCTCTGTCTTTTTCCAGGTACTGATTATTAGCTGAAAGTGTCTTTTCTATGTAATTCTTTGTTTACCTTATTGTCCCCCCCCCACCCCGTCCCATATTCCTTGAGGGCAGGAGCCTCTTTGCTTTTCCATTGCCCTTCCTGGCGCCCGGAACAGGGGGAGGATGTAGGGCAGTGGCTAATGGTTGTTGAATAACTCGTGCGTTCATTCATTCATTCATTCCATCCATCCTCCCTCCTTGTTCCATTTGGGGGAGGCACCTGCAGCCCCATCAGGATGCATGACTTGCTTAAGGTCACTCCGCTGGACGGAGAGCCAGGCTGGGAGCCCAGGCGGTCTCCCTGCGGCGGGTCCCGGGGCACCACTGCGTCGCTCGCGTGCTGTGGTGTTTTGTGGACCAGGTGTAAACGCTTCCTAGCTCAAAGCTGTTGTTTGGGAGATGCTGCGCCTCCTCCGTGGATCGGCTGCGCGGCGGAGAATGCTCGCCTCCTCGCACGGTGGCTAACGTGCTGCTGCGGCTCCATAAATATTAAATGGGCATTAAAAGAAGGCGCTGCGTTTCCAGTTTCCCGGATTTCTCTGAGCAGGGCCCGTTGCGAACCCCCTTTATGTGAAATGCAGCATTTCACCGCGGAGCGCCTCCGGGAGCCTTGCCGCCCGCCTTTCCCGGCTGAGTCCCTTTGGTGCAGAGCGGTTCTCCCTCGACTGCAGGCTATCTGCATGCTGGCGCCTGCTCCTCTGGGGCAAAGACGGGTGGGGGCCCCTGGAACCCCTTTTCACAAGGGCTGTGCCAGCCTGGCAGCCTCCTTGCTGGGTATGCAAGGAGGGTAAGATGGAGACGAGGCAGTGACTCTTCAGTCTTCAGCTGTGCTCTCCTGACACCCAACCTCTCCCAGGCCTCTGCTGGGCACCAGGCAGTCTCCAGACACTCTGTCCTTCTGTCCCCTCATGGTCTCTGCATCCATCCCTCCATCCATCCGTTTCTCCCTCCCTGCCTCCATCCATCCACTAATGCTATTGATGAAGTATTTGTGATAGGCCATGGGGTGATCATGTTATAAAAATATTAGCTAACATTTATTGACCACTCACTGTGTGCTGGGCTCTGTGATCAGCAGCTTACATGTGTCACCTCATTGAATATTCATGACTCTACAAGATAGGGACTGTTTTTCTTTCCATTTTGTAGAAGAGGAAACAGAGCCTCTGGAGGTTCAGCCGCTTGCTCAGGGTCACAGAGCTGCTGGGGGCCGGAGCTGACACATGGGGTGCACAAATGGGGGGCCCGGCCCTGCCCTCAGGGGACATCTGGGCTCTTCCTGGGACCCTGAAAAGAAGGCCCCAGATCCAGGCTTCTCCGAGGAGACACCAGCATTGCTGAGAGGAAGGGTGTCAGCTTCAGCCAGCAGGAGAGGAGGGCAGAGCCGGAAGTCAGGCAGCTAGGTCTGGGGGCTCAGCCCTGCCACCTACTCTCTGTGCAACGAGACATCACTTCTGTGGGATGTACCCTTCATCATTTGTCAAACGTGAGACATGAGCATCAATATCTGTCTCTTAGTGGTGAGCATTGCAGAGGAAGACTCTCGAAAAGTGCTGGAATTGTGTGGCTCTGAACAAGAGCATGGCCCTTGTGAGCTATAGGCCTCCAGGTGCAAGAGCCCACCAGGGCTGGCCTGTGTGGCTCAAATAGAGGCCAGACCAGTCATAGGGCCAGACCATGCAGGATCTTATGGTCAAGGGATTTTATCAAAGAAGCCACCACAAGGATTTCAAGTAGGGATGTGATGTGGTCAGCTTGCATTTGAGAAATATTTGAGTTCTTCAGGGCCTGTCTGGCACCCCTAGCTCCTGGAACTGGCCCCTTGGTTCGCACTTGACACCCTAGTACCAAGGGTGCCCAGTACTCAGGCAGCACCCACTGACAGCAGCTCCTCAATATGCAGGGATCGAATTGAACAGAATAGTGACTTTGACCATCACAGCCGAGGTGAGCTGGGCCCCTGGGACCCACCATGCTTTGTACTCAGGATTCCTGCTTACCTCTTCATTTAACCTGCACAATCCCCGGGAGATGGCATTACTACTATCAAATCCATTGTCTTTTCTTTTCTTTTTTTTTTTTGAAACAGAGTCTTACTCTGTCATCCAGGCTGGAGTGCAGTGGTACTATCTAGGCTCACTGCAACCTCCACCTTCTGGGTTCAAGCGATTCTCCTGCCTCAGTCTCCCAAGTAGCTGGGATTACAGGCGTGCACCACAGTGCCCGGCTAATTTTTGTATTTTTAGTGTAGAGGGGATTTCACCATGTTGGCCAGGCTGGTCTCGAACTCTTGACCTCAGGTGATCCGCCCACCTCAGCCTCCGGAAGTGCTGGGATAACAGGTGTGAGCCACTGCACCGGGCCTCAAATCCATCTTCTAGAAGAGGAAGCTGGTGGCTCAGAGAAGTTAGGAAGTTGACTTAAGGTCACACAGCAAGTCAGCCATGCTGGGGCTTGACCCCCGTCCAGATCTGGGCAGGCCTGGCTCAGAGTATGCAGAGTCCTGGAACTTGGCATCTGGTGCTCTGAGACCTTTCCCAGGGCTTCTGGGTGCCGGGTAGCAGTTACAGACAAGAGGGGTGCAGGTCCCTGCTCCCCCACCTATAGTTCTGTTGCGTAGCACCCGCAGGGAGAGCCAATCACTTAGAAACAACCCACAGGACCAAACAATGGCACAAGTGTGTCCCCAGGAAAAGGGAGACGGTTTCCCCCTTGTCTTTGCAGGTGGAGAAGAGGGATATGTGTTGGGAATCAGGAAGTGTCTTTAGGGGTCGGTGGGAGAAGGAGGATATTGCTATTTATTTCACCTTCTAGGGAGATGATCAAGATTTAAAAACAATTAATAACCCATTTCTCCTTTGCACATAATTAAAATGTTCTCCATTCTCTAATTTTTGTCATTTTCCTAATCTAATTTGTTTTCTGACCGTGTCGATTCTTCTTCCAAGCGCAAAGCAAACGGGAGTTTTCTTCATTTAGCGTGTTTGCGATATGCCTATCCAGGAATAGTTTCCATGATGTTATTTTCTCCTTGGTTAAATACAGTGCAAAAGGAATCGTTGGAGGGTCTTAATGACCCAAACTGAAAACAACGACAAAAAGTCTTCAAGGCATTTCCCACTGACACGGTTTAGAAAATAATTATGAAAAGGAACGAGACAACTCGATGGTCTGAGTAACGAGGCATCGGCCGTAGCGCTGTGTGTTGGGGTAGGATGGGGTCTCACCCGGGGCCTGCATTTCCAAGTTTCTACAGAGTTCTACACTGACCCGAGGCGGGGTCGGTTGGAGGGATAGTTAAGCCCAGTAAATATAAGTGCAAACTGCACTTCCCGGTGAAAAAGATTTGAAAAATATTGCATATTCTCAAGCTGCAATTCAAAGCTTGACGGGGTACCTCAGGGTTCCTGAGATCCTCATGAGAGAGAAGGTAGTGAGGCACCGGAGGAGGTTTTTGCAAAAGGTTCCTCCTCCCTCACCATCTCCGCCCCTACCTGCACCACCACCCCTGAGCCGGTGGGTATGTGATCATCTATGTCTGGGAAAACCCCTTCTTGGGGCACCACTAAAAGGTATCTTTAGATGAAATTGATGTTGAGGGAGGAATTTTCGCCCGTGCTGTCTCCACCTGCTTGGGCTTGCAGGGGTGTGGGCGTGGGGCCGTGTGGGTGTGTTTGGGGGTCTGTGGGGGATGGAGGAGGGTTGTAGGAGAATCCTTCTTATTTCCCAATTCTGAAAAGTAAAACTTAACTCACCTGTTTACAAAATACCAGCCATTGTCTTACCCCAGCTCCCTGTCACCCTGTAGGCTCTGGAGGATTTTGTTGAAGGAAAAAAAAAAAAGCCTGAAGTATTTAAACACGTTGGGCCATGCATGCATCCGTCCACAGTGCTGTGGGTTGTATTTTTTTTTTTCTTTTTTTTCTTGTCCCCTCCCTCCCTTCCCTTTTCTTTTTACCAAAGTATATTCATCAAACTGCTGAGTTGGAAAGATTTGTAATGAGTTTTTGAGCTGTACGACTGTGTTTTTTTTCCTCTCCCCCCGCCCTCTCCCTCTTTCTAAATCTTCATCTGACATTAAATAAAGCAAATCCCAAACAGATTAACTGTCGCACGGTTCTGCTCCATCTCCTCAGTCTGTTTCCAGGTCTGGCGGGGGGCCGGGCTGCGGTGGCGGCAGCGGTGGGAGATGCCGGGGCGGCCAGCGGAGGTCCATGTGGCGCTCTAGGTGGGATGCCGGCGTCCTGAAGGCGGAGGCCCTGGCCCTCCTCCCCTGTGGCCTGGGCATGGCATTCTCCCAGTCCCACGTGATGGCCGCTCGGCGGCACCAGCACAGCCGGCTCATCATCGAGGTGGACGAGTACAGCTCCAACCCCACCCAGGCCTTCACCTTCTACAACATCAACCAGGGCCGCTTCCAGCCACCGCATGTGCAGATGTAAGTGGGACCTGTGGGGTGGGGGTGGGGGTGGGTGCATGGTCTCGGGTGCCTCCTGGTTCTGGGTGCACCGTTAACAAGCATTGAATGTTTGTTGACTGCAGCAATTCTGGAGTCCTAGGATCACTGGGGCTCTGAGTTGGGAGGGACCGGCAAGAAGTTGCAGATGGATGGCCTGTGGGCCGATTCTGGCCGCGGTCCTGTTTCACTTGGCCAGGAGCATGTTTTACAAATATTTAAAGATGAGGTGGATGCACAGAAAGCTCCAGACTTCTGGCTTCACTTTATAAAACCCAAAGGCCTGGCAACCCCAGGCCCACATGTCCTCCTGGCAGCGTCTGGCGGGGGCCACATTCCAGATCCCTTTCTTGGCATTTAAGTGGCGACCCCTTGTCTGATTTACTCTCCTCAATGTACACACAGGGAGACCGAGGCCCAGAAAGGGGAAGGGGCTTGCCACAAGCCCCGTGGCAGGTTAGGATCCAGTCTTGGGCTCCGTGTTTCCTCTCCCTGCCCTTCCTTTTGTCCAGACCCTGTGCTTCTCTTGTGAAAGCAGAGATGCTTTTCCAAAAGGACTGGGGGATTCTGTTGTCTACCCCTTGGGGCACTAGGGGTAGACAGTGCCAAGCAGTGCTCAAGCAGTGAGGCCCTGGGGAGCACACAGACTCAAGATCCCCATAGGCAGCAGGAGAGCTTGTCCTGATGCCTGTGTGCAGGGCCAGCCTTTCCCATCTGGATTTCCTGAGGTCCTGGAAAGCTGTAGGTGGCTGGAGGTGGCTCCAGAGATGGTCAAGCTCCTGACCCGGCTCTGGGTGGTTCCCTGAGTCCCTAGAACTCCCCTCCTGCTTTATACCTGTTGCTTCTCCCATGAGCCCTGCACGACAGAGTTTACCTGGTGAGGAACCAGGGGCCCAGGCCCATGAGGTGCCCCACCCTGCTGGCAGGTGCCAGAGCTGGACTCGAACCCAGGCTTCCTGAGTCCAGCCCGGGGCTCTCCATGCTGGGCCTCCCACATCCTCGGGCTGTGATGTGTGTGGATGTTCATGCTTCTGCCTGAGAGTGGAGGCTGTTGTCCCCTCAGCTGTTGTACCTTCACCCGGCTCTGGGTGCCCGCGCCCAAGCTGGGTCTGGATCAGGGATGACCCCTGCAGAGCAGGGAGGTGACAGCACAGGGAGGGGGGAGCTGTGACAGGGGCTGATCCAGTGCTGTAGGACCTACAGGAAGCCCTCCTGACTGCCCAGGGGTCTGGTGCCCCAACAAGGGTCTAGGCTCTGGGCCACCTCTGGGGCTGTGATCACCATCTTGGGGCAGCGGTGCTTGTGGAGTCCCAGCCACTGTCCCTCGGACCACTTGGAGAAGGAATTAAGGGGGTTTCCAAACCCTGGCCTGGTGGGATGTGTGTGAGGTTGCAGCCTCCCGTCCCTGTGCGGCCTCCCTCAGGCCTGGCCTCTGTTGTGGGCAGAGGGGGGTACAGGGAAGGGCTCTGCAGGGCAGCAGGCTCCAGGCAGGGATTGCGGTCTTCTAGTGGCACTTGCCCAGGAAAATGCTTGTCTCCGTGTGGGGCTGCAGGACTGGTGTTGCCTGTGGCTGCCTACTTTATTTTTTGGTAGATTTCTATTTGGGCTGCTGCCTCTGGGTTTCTGTTTTTGGGACCAAATTGGCGGGTTTGGGCAGGAAGGAAGGCCCCGGGCCTTAGGTCTGTGGGACTTGAGGCCTGGGAGGGGCTGCAGGGACGGGGACCTTCCCTGGCCTGAGTTTTATCTTTTGTTGGTGAGGGTCATCCTCCAACTGGGTGGGTCAGAGGTGACTGAGCCTGAGGTCCCTGTAGGCCAGGCTGAACTCCTGCCTAGTGGGCAGGCAGAGAGCAGCAAGGCCTCCCAGGGCAGGTGGGGTTTGTGAGGGTGCCGGCACCACACACAGTGGGACCATGGACAGCTGTCAGTCACAGCGCCCCTTCCTGGGCCAGGCACACACTCAGGGAGCTCCTAGTCTGAGAACAGAGCCAGGGAAACAGGAAGACAGGGAGTGGGGGCTGAGGAGGCACTTCCCAGTTTCAAGGGATCCAGGAAGGACCTCCTGGACCTCCTGGACCTCCTGGACCTCCTGGAGAACTAGATAATTTCTAGGTTGAGGCCAGAGCAGGAGGAATAGACATAGCAAGTTGGGAGGGGGTGTGAGGAGGAAGTGGACCAGGCAGAAGCAGTGGCAGGGTCGGAGCCTGCAGGTGGCTAGAAGATGGGGGTCTCTGAGAACTGCAGGGAGGCCCAGCTGGGCAGGCAGTGGGAGTGGGGGATGACACCACAGGTCCCTGCAGGCTGGGCTGTGTCCTGAGGGAGGGTGGTGAATGACAGAATGAGAAGGGGTGATCTACTCCATTTAACTGAGCCACCCGGGGCCATTCATTCTTTTGTTGAGTCATTCATTTATTCACGCATTTGGGATGTCTGTGAGCTGCTGAGTTTCTCAGTGTTTAGGACCTTGGGCACTGAGCTTGCCTGCTTGGATGGGGGTCATGCTGCTTGGTGCCTCAGTTTCCCCAATTTGGAGCTGGCTACTCCAGGTGGAGGCACCACATGCTTCCCTGAAATTCCCCTTGCCGTGCCGCCCTTCTCGGTTGGCACATGTGCTCTGCACAGCTCGGAAAGCTGGTCCTCACCCCCCGTGGCGCTAGTCCACGCATTCTCAGTGGAGGAAACAGCACCTCCAAGGGGTAAAAACTGGTTCTTAGGGGGTGAAAAAAATGCTGCACACAGTAATACTGGGGATGAAAGGTTAAATCCTGGTAGAGAAGGCCCAGTGGGCAGCAAGCATTCAGCATTGGTAGCACATGCCAGGCCTGGTGAGAGGCTTGGGACCCAGCAGTGATCGAAGGCACCCCTGCCTGTGCCGAGCTTACATCTAGTGGATGGCAGGCAGTTAGCAGATGGTCATGAAAGCGTGTGATGCTGGTGATGGTAAGCGCTTTGGAGAAGGAACTTAGCTGGGGAGCTGGAGCAGGCCCCGTGAGGATTTACACCTGGCCTGCCCCACCCCATCCTGGACGGCTCTGCACCACCACCTCCGGCAGTGGGGAGAGTTCCCGGCTCCTGCTGGCTCTGGGGCTCCGAGGCAGCTGGGGTTTGGGTGGGGCCCTGGAGAGAGCGTGCTCTGAGCTCCAGCTTTGAAACACAACTTTGCACACAGCTGGTTAAAGCCAGGGTGGGCACAGAGATGGGGGGCTTCTGCCTCCCACTGCCCCTTCATTCAGCCTCCACACCCCAAGCTCGGAAGCATGCAGGCTGCTGGAGGTGGCTGAACGGATTTCCATGGCGAGTCGGCTGCTTCCTCCCAGGAGCGGTGGGGGGATGGCTGCCACCTTCTGACATGTGATTTGTCGCCACCCTGGGCTTTGTCTCCGGGGTGAGGGAGCGAGGGGGCCTTATTTAATAAATCCACAATTTATATTTAATAACAACAGTGACAGTCCAAACATGGCCTCTGATTGAGTCCTGTGATTTATGCCGTTGCCCCCAGAGACCCTGCTGGTGACGAGGCCGCCTCTGCTTGGGTAATGAATCTCTGGAGCTGGGCCTCTGGATTGTGAGCAAGGCTGAAGATTCCTTGCCCTGGCGACTGAGCAACCCTGTGGGGGTCTCAGGAGGCCCCTCTAGGCCCGGCCCTTCTGCCCTGGGTGGGCAGGCGAACCACTGACCTAGTGGCCAGTGGGAAGGCAAGAGTGAGTGTTGGGGGACAGGGTTAGCCTGGAGCTCTCATGTAGGTCGCCAGGACCATGGCATCAGGCACAGCAATCCCTCTCTGACCTTTACAAGGCGTTATGGCAGAGGCCTGAGTCATCGCTGAAAGACCCTTCGAGCCCCTCAGGCGTGCACCGGGTCCTTGAAGCTATGGCAGAGTGGGATGGGAGGCCACAGCTGCATGCCAGGCCTGGAGCAGCCCCTTTGTGCCTGTTCCTGGCCTTTCCTGCTGTCCCAGGATGGTGTGGACCCCCTCTCTACAGATGAGGATGCTGAGGCTTTGGAAGGTGAGCATGGGGAGCTGGGACTCCCACCCGGTGCTGTGTGGCTCCTTGGCCTGTCCACACACTGAGAGGCTCCTGGAGACATGGAGCTCAGCCTGGAGTGCAGGGATGGGGGACAAGGAGCAAAGCAAGTGGGGAGGACTCACCCCGGCACCGCCTGGCTCTCAAGCCTCATTCTCCATCCGTGTCGTGCTGGGCAACAGATACAGTGGCTGCTTCCGGTTTCTTAAATATTCCAGTCTTCCTCCTGCCTCAGGTCTTTGCACATGCTGTTCCCTCTGATCCCAACTCTTTGCCCTATGAGCACTGACTCCTCCTTCAGATCTCACCCAGGTGTCACCACCTCAGGGAAGTCTTCCCTGCTCCAGCTCTAGGTGCTCACTGCTGGGCCTGGTGGCACACGCTTAGTGGAACCTGATTCAGTCTGTGCTGATACATTCCTTTGCCGGAGGATTTCCCAAGCATCTCTCCCCTGCACGAGCATGGGGCTGCATGTCTAGTGCCTAGCACAGGGAACAGGAAGCAGGAAAGAGAAGAGAGTGAGAACGGGACAGGTGGCAAGACTCAGGAGGAGTGTCAGGGATCACGGAGGGCTTTCTGTGGGGGTGGGGGTGGCATAATCCCTGGGCGTGGAGGACCAGCTGCCCTGTGGCCTCTGTGAAGTGGGCCACTTTAGGAAGAGGGACCAGCAAGAGCAGAGGCCAGGATGTGGGAAGGAAGGACAGGCGTGGGGACGCCAGAGGGTCCTGTGGCCAGGGTCCCCTTGGATCCATTGCTTTGTGGGAAGACCACTGGACAAGGGGTCGGGGCAGTTGTTGTGTGATGCTGATCCAGCCAGTCATTGCTCCTCCCCAGGCCTCAGTTTCCCCATTTGTAAAATGAGAGGAAGGGGCTAAAGGTCCTTTCCTACTAAAACACCATGGCTGATGCCCAGTCACACGGCTGGATGAGTTGTTGGAAGCTGTCCCTGCCTGGACCTTCAGAGCACCCCATTTCTGCAGGAATAGGGTTACGAGGGGTAACAGCCTCTGCTTCTGATGCCTCTCTGGGCTTTTGGCACCAGGAACTGCACTTCCACAGAACCAGTGGCTTATGGGAGAGAAGGAACCGAGAGCAGGATGCAGAGCGCACTGCAGGGGTATTGGCATCAGGGCTCCAGCTATGAAGGTCGGTTAAGTTCTCACAACATGACAAAGAGGGAGTGGCTCGTCCCCACCCTACGGAGCAGGGCTGGAGGCTGGTGGGGTCCAGGGGCACAGCGAGGAGGAGGTCACTGAGCTGGGGTGCCAGCCTGGGGTCTGGTGTCAGAGGCCGTGTTCTCTCCTCTGTATTGTTCCTGCTGCCAGGAATCCCATGGGAAGATCGGTATAGGCTGGGGAGAGCTGGAGATGGGTGTCAGGTCTCAGAGCCACCCCAGTAGGCAGCAGCTTTGGGGAAGTTGAGTTTGGCTCCAAGAGACAAGAAGCCTTTGCTTCCACGTCTTATCTCTGGTCCCTGCAGAATGTCACTGAGAAAGAACCATTTTGTACTTTTTTTTTGGTCACAAAGTGTTGAGATTAGATGCCCAGATTCCTGTTGTGAAGTCCTGGGTTCAAATTCCACTCTTTAACTTAGTAACTGGGAGCTTGGGCATGGACTAACTTTTCATTGTCATTGCAAGTATCAGAAACACAACTGAAGTTGCCTTAAGGATGAAAAGGAGTCTGCTGGCCCATATTAAGAATTTCAAGTTTGGGTCTGGCTTCAGGTATAGCTGGATCTTCAAATGATGCCCCCTTGTTCACTGTCTCTTTGTCTCTCTCTTTCTCTACATATACACATTTTGTTGTTGTTGTTAATTTTTTTTTTTTTTTGATACAGTCTCACTCTGTTGCCCAGGCTGGAGTTCAGTGGTGCGATCTCAGCTCACTGTAACTTCCGCCTCCCAGGTTCAAGCAATTCTCCTGTCTCAGCCTCCCGAGTAGCTGGGACTACAGGTGCACACCACCACGCTCGGCTAATTTTTGTATTTTTAGTAGAGACAACGTTTCACCATGTTGGCCAGGCTGGTCTTGAACTCCTTTCCTCAAGTAATCTGCCCGCCTTGGCCTCCCAAAGTGCTGGGATTACAGGCGTGAGCCATTGTGCCTGGCCTCCTTCTCCATATTTTGACTCTTTTTGCTCTTTCCTTCATTTGCAAACATAGTCAGGGTTTCTGGATCTTCACATCGGTGGCCTCTGTGGGTGTCCTGACCACAGACGTATCCTTACACCAAGCAGGTGCCTGGCATTTAGAGGCATTCGGTAAGATTTGTCCATAGGTTGACTGAATGAAATGAAGTCCAGCCTGGTAATAGTCCAGTGTGGTGTGAGTTCTGGAGCCAAAAACCAGCTTCCAATTTCAGCTGCACCAGCTCCTGTAGCTAAGATCATGGACAAGTCAGCCTTTTCTGAGCCTCAGTTTGCTCACCTGTAAAATGGGGCTACCCATAGTACCCTGTTTAGATGGTCATTATGAGGGTGAAGAGAGCGACTGCCTGTAACATGCCCAGCACATAATGAGCTCTTGATGCGTGGGGATCATTGAAATCATTATTGTTGTTGTTATTTCAAAGTCGAGCATTTGTTTCAATCCAAATAGCTGGGGGACTGTGCCGGATAATGAGAGTCTATTTCTTTCTCTGGGGATGACTAGGTCTGCATCTTCGCTGTGCTCCAGAAGCCTCGGGGTGCAGAGAAATAAGAGTGGAGTTAATTAAAGAGCTCTGGCTCCAGTAGCAGGCCCAGCCCAACCGGAGCCCTCAGAACCACACTGCTCTTGGCTGGCTGGTGGCGGGCGGGAGCTGAGGCCCACTCAGGGCTCCTCTGCTAGGAAGGGCGCCGGGGACGGTAGACTGTCAGGGTCCCAGCAGCTCGGGGGTGGCATTATGCTCCCTGTCTCTCCTTTCTTCATCTCTTTGTCTCTTTGACTTAGTCTTTGTCACCTTATAACATCTTCAAAACCTCAGAGACACACAGAGAGAGAGAGACACACACACACACACAAAGGGGGGAAAGAGAGAGAAAGGGAGAAGAGAGAGAAAGGGAGGAGATAGAAAGGGAGGTGATAGAAAGGGAGAAGAGAGAGAAAGGGAGGAGATAGAAAGGGAGGCGATAGAAAGGGAGAAGAGAGAGAAAGGGAGGAGATAGAAAGGGAGGTGATAGAAAGGGAGAAGAGAGAGAAAGGGAGGAGATAGAAAGGGAGGAGAGAGAAAGGGAGGAGATAGAAAGGGAGGAGAGAGAGAGAAAGGGAGGAGAGAGAGAAGGGGAAGAGAGAAAGATAAAGGGAGGAGAGAGAGACAAAGGAAGGAGAGAAAGGGAGGAGAGAGAGAGGGAGGAGAGAGAGAAAGGAGAGAAAGGGAGGAGAGAGAAAGGGAGGAGAGAGAGAAAGGGAGGAGAGAAAGGGAGGAGAGAGAGAAAGTGAAGAGATAGAAAGGGAGGGGAGAGAGAGGGAGGAGAGAGAAAGGGTGGAGAGAGAAAGGGTGGAGAGAGAAAGGGTGGAGAGAGAAAGGGAGGAGAGAGAAAGGGAGGAGAGAGAGAAAGGGAGGAGAGAGAGAAAGGGAGGAGAGAGAGAAAGGGAGGAGAGAGAGAAAGTGAGGAGATAGAAAGGGAGGAGAGAGAGGGAGGGGAGAGAGAGGGAGGAGAGAGAAAGGGAGGAGAGAGAGAGAAAGGAAGGAGAGAGAAAGGGAGGAGAGAGGGAAACAGAGAGAAAAGGAGGAGGGAGGAGAGACAGAGAGAGAGAGAGAGAGAGAGAGAGAGAGAGTGAGAGAGAGAATATGAATGAATGAATTTGATTGGCTCACTTGAGTTTCTGTGCCAGGCCAGTAGCCCAGTAGCAACTGGCTGCCCTTGGTCTGCTCAGCTGTGTGTGGCGGGGGTTGGGGGGGGGCGGCGGCAGGGTGTGTAGGTCACATCAGCTGTGTGTCATGGGGAGTGGGGGTCACTGGGGGCCCCAGAGGACAGAGGAGTGGTGGGAATTCCTGGGAAGGAGATTTCGGCTTCCAGATCAGCTCAGACACTGCCCTGATGGAAGCTTCCAGGAGACTCCAGGCCAGGTTAGGGCCTTCTCTGGGCCCTGTCCCCTCTGCTGCCCTGTCAAAGGTGCTGGCTGTATTGTCATCGTCTGGCCAAGGCTGCTGCCGCCATCAGTCCCTGGGCTCGTGGTGAGTCGGGGTCAGCCTGGTTCATCCCTGTGGCCCTCCGCTGAGCTCAGGGCTGGCACACGGTAGCCATTCAGGATGTGTTGTATTCAATGAATGAGTGAATGAGTGAATGGAGGACACGAGGAAGAGCTCCTAGCACCTCCCTAGTTGGTCGTCATCGGATTCATTTCATTTTCCTCCCAGTCTGGCCCAGCTCTGACTTGCTGGGATTCTCTCTCGGCCTCACAACCCCCAGGAAGGGGCCCCGGGTGCGCGCTCCCGCCGCGGCATCATGGTGGGGAGAGGCTGGCTCGGCGCCTGCGGCTGCGGCTGCGGCGGATGGAGCGCGCTAGTGCGCCCTGCAAATTAGCATGCTGAACCCACGTCTCTCGTAAGGTGTTAATTAAATTTCTTCGAAGTATATTGTCTGAAAAAAAAAGGATAATTAGAAAGATGTCTTTAAAAGTATTTATGTAACTGATATGGCACCGCTTTTGGTTTGCCACATAATTAGATTTAAACACAACTCCTCGAGCGGCATACTCATTTGGAGAGAGCTGCTTGTTGAAATGTCATTGCGTTGTTTTTAAGAGTTTTGAGCCTGGTAAAACCATTCAACTGGGGAGGCAACGTGTAGTGGAGACAGCCCTGGATGGGGAGCTGCGGTCTTAGCCCGCGGGGAGCCGGGAGCCGGGGTCTTAGCCCACATCCACATTTCTGCACTGGGGTGCCCAGGACCGCTTGCTCAGCCTGGCTGGATCTTGGCGTCCTCGTCTGTCAAACGAGAGGGCCACGATGGGCTCCTGAGGCACAAGAATCTACATTTATGCCGCTTTTTAAAATGTTATTTTTGCTTAGTGAAGTAGCTTCGTTTTACAGATGTGCAGACCGAGGCTGTGCAAAGCCTGGTCTTCTGACTCAGGAGTGTTTTCTGACACAGCCCTGGAAGGCCCTTGGTCTAGAAATGATCACACTGTCTTGCAGTTTTGAAAAATGGACACCTTGCCTTTAGGCTCTTTATTTCTCCTGAAACTCCCCCTCCCATGCGGCTCTCCTGCGATGGCCGACGCGCCCTGCACAGCCGGCCAGTCGTCCTCGTGGCCCGCCCGTAGGCTTTATTCCATGCAGTTTCAGTGGGGGCCATAGTGCCCCCAGGGGGTAAAATCTGGTGCTTGGGGAGTCAAAACAACGTCTTGCTCTTCTGTCTAAAGCGGATGTGGACAGGAGGTACCTAAACACACGTAGGGCATCTCAGTGGTGCTAAAGCTTCATGGGAGGGAGGTGAGTAGGGGAAATAAAAGACATCTTGAAGTCTTCTCCGGGGGTGATCATGAACAAAAGGTTGGTAGCTGTGCAGCACCTCAGTTCAGACAGCAGATGCTCGCTGTACCCGCTTCCCACTCCCTTTAACCCTCACTACAGCCCCCACAACCTGATGTTTCCATGTTACAGACAGGGAAACTGAGGCTCGGGGGCCAAACATGCTTTGCCTGGCTAAAGATGAGGGAAGTCAGCATTCAGGCCGCGGTGGGCCCCTGGGAAGGTTGGCCAGTCCCTGGTCTGGTGGATCTGAACAGGATTGACGGGGCTGTGAACTGTGGTGGAGGAGGCTGCAGACGCACCACCCGCAGGCTCATGGCTCCATGGCCTCCTGACCCGCAGTCTCATCTCTCCCCACAGGGTGGACCCGGTGCCTCACGATGCCCCCAAGCCTCCGGGCTACACCCGCTTCGTCTGTGTCTCTGACACCCACTCCAGGACGGACCCCATCCAGATGCCGTACGGTGACGTGCTGATCCACGCTGGGGACTTCACCGAGCTGGGGCTCCCGAGCGAGGTGAAGAAGTTCAACGAGTGGCTGGGTAGGTCCCTCCTGCCCCAGGTGGGCGGCTGTGCTGAGCAGGAAGGGGGCTCCCGCCGTCTCCCGAGGCTGCCTCCCTGCCTTTCCCTCCTGCTCTGCCTGGCCCGCTCCTTGGCCTGTGCCTGCCTGGTCATCCTCCCTGACCTCTCAGACCAGGTGCCCCTTTCTCCCATCCACCTTGGACCTCCCCTCCTCCAGCATCTGTCTTGGTTGTAACTTTCCATTTATTTGTGGGAATTGTTTTTTGGCCTGGAAGACCCCCTCCAAAAGGGACTTTGCTTATGTCTTTGTCCATTTGAGTGTCCAGGCCCCGGTGCCTGGCAAAGGTAGGGCCTCAATAAATAATTGATGAATGAGGCCAGGTGCAGTGACTTATGCCTGTAATCCCAGCATTTTGGAAGGCCAAGGCTGGTGGATCACCTGAGATCAGGAGTTCGAGACCAGCCTGGCCAACATGGTGAAACCTCATCTCCACTAAAAGTACAAAAATTAGCCGGGTGTGGTGGCGGGCATCTGTAATCCCAGCTACATGGGCGGCTGAGGCAGGAGAATCACTTGAACCTGGGAGGCGGAGGTTGCAGTGAGCTGAGATCACTCCACTGCACTCCAGCCTGGGCAACAGAGTGAGACTCTGTCTCAAAAGAAAAGAAATTGATGAATGAATGAATGAATGGCTGAGTGGGTGAATGAATGAATGAATGGCATGGAGAATGGTGGTGCCAGGGTAGGTGCTCAGCTGGTTTGTCCTAGCTCAGCCACCCACTGCCATGGAGATGCTTTCTCCAGGGGCCAGATGTGGGCAGCTGCTGGTCTCGGTAGCAGAGCCCTTTCCCACGCACTGCACTATGGCGGGTGATGATGTATAAGCACATGCCCTGGGTTTTGTCTTTGTGCTTTTTTTCCAAAATAAGAAAAAAAGCTGGGGGACCCCCTGGGAAAACTCGCTTGCCTTGGAATCCAGAGAAACCTCACAGTGAGGCGTCTCTGTCCCCACCCGGGGAAGACAGATGGACGGCCCCTGTGCAGCCCAGCACCCAGGCCTGCTGCCGTGGAGGCGTGGGTGCAGGGCCGCTCACCTTTCTGCGCAGCCCCACGTAGCTGCCAGACGGTCCCTTCCGCCTCCTCAGGGGCGTCCCGCTGTGCAGTTGGCTGGGACTGCGCGAGCAGAGGGCCAGGAGCGAGGCAGGGCAGCCGCGGCGAGCCAGGGGCCCGACTCTGCCAGGCGAAACAAATATTTACAAGCAAGGCCTTCCCTTCTGTTTGGCAGGCAGAGGCCTTTAAATATTGATTTTTCAAACGGGAAATTCTAATCAAAGGCGCTGTTTGAGCTGCAGGAAGTGCAGGCCGGGGGAGGGGGCTCCTGCAGGCCTGCTCTGGGATTCTCACCTTGCCCACACTGGTTCCAGGTCTGGGCTGACTCTCAGGAGGGGCCCTTCCCCGAGGGAGGCTGCTTGTTCCATCTGCTGTGGGTTTCAAAAGACAGGAGGTTGCACTTGGTGGAGTCAAGAGGCCGTTTCCAAGGCAGAGAGGCTGGAGTTGCTGTGGGCCAAGCCCCCACTGTGTGCCAGGCACCGGGTGGCAGTCTCTTATCACCTCTGCCTTGTTGAATTTGGGAACGGCTATTTGAGGTGGCTACCATTTGCGTCCCTATTCGACAGAGGAGAATGGAGGTTCTGAAGGGTGAGGACTGTCTCTCACACACAGCCTGGCCTTCCAGGTGCACCCCATCATGGGTGAAAAGTGTGAACTCATAACTTGTAAAGGGGTCTTCCTTTTACAAAAGGTTCTTTCCCTCGGGCCTCGCCCCTTTGCTGCCTGGAAGTGTTTGCAGATGTCAGGGCGGTCACTCAGGGAGGAATGGGCTTCAGACTGAGGAAGGAGGAGCGTTTGCATGCGAGCGACGGCATGAATAGAAGCCCATTTGCAGCTGGTATTTTGGGAACTCACCCACTGCACAAAGCAAGACCCCTTGGTTGGCCGGTGCTTCAGGTCCCCAGAGTTTGGTGATTATGGCTGAGAGAGGGACTGTGTGCCTATGTGGTGCATTTGGACAGGGGCATTTTTCTATAAAGCTCAAGTTTAGTGAACATTTAGTATGTGCTGGGTGCTGTTCTATACCCTTCGCATGTATTAGTAACTCATTCAATCTTCCTGACAATGAGGCAGGAACTATTATCCTTCCCATTTTACAGAGGAGAAAACCAAGGCCCAGAGAAGTGAAGTCACTCACCCAAAGTCATACAGCTTGTAAATGGCAGAACTGGGCAGTTGGACCCCAGTGCTGAACTCTTGGTGTAGCTCTGTGTTGCCTCTCCTTCTTGAGGTGAAGCCTCCCTAATTGGAAGTAAGGGTATGGACGATGCTGTTTGGAGTCTGGATCTGCTTTCTGCTTGGGTGACGGCAGCAGCCACGTGGCCCCTCTGGGCCTCATTTTGAATGGGGGCGGTCAGGCTCCCCTGCCTCGCATCCCTCCAGGGGTTGTTTTGAGGCCATGTTGGAATGGAGGAAAGAATCACTTTGTAAACTGTAAAGTGCTGTGTACCCGTTATGATCGCCCCCATGAACTGGCGTCTCCAGATCTGGGCTCCCCTGGGTAGGGGTGGGGTGTTAGGAGGAAGACATTGGACCTGAGCCATGAGGTGGAGTTGGCAGGGAAGGCGGTGGAACAACACGTGTGTTACAGCGTGTGGAGTTCCCGAGAGATATGCACGTGTGGTCTCAGCTAGCAACAGCCCTCCCAACAACAGACACAGAGAAAAAGAGACTGGAAGGAAACATTCCGTCATCCTATTGCTGAGTCTCTCTGACAGCCCATGAGGTGCCAGGTGTGTCACAAGCCCTGGGGTAACAGTAGGCCAAGAGCACGCAGAGCCCCACTCAGCCTGATGAGGGGGGACTGTGGCTCCGTACATATGAGGGCGGCACGGGAGCTGTTCACTAGAGAGAGCTACGGGGTCTGTCGGGGACCCACCTGGGGGGGCGTGTGGTGGTGGCCATTCAGCTGGGTGGGCACGGAAGGCCTCCCTGAGGAGGGGATGTTGGGCCAGGCCTGAGGGTGAGAATGAGGCAGCCTCGTGCAGCTCTGGGCAGGACCCGTTCCAGGCAGAGGACGTGGAGGCTGCAGGGGGCCCTGAGGTGGGAGCAGAGAGCACTGGGAGCATTGAGAAGTGGGAGAGGCAGGGCAGCGGGGCAGGCACTGGTCCACACAGGCCTCCTGGGTCAGGGACAGGAGTGAGGGGCTGATCCTAAGGGCAGGGGGAGCTTTGGGAAGGTTTAGGCCATGATGGATTGTAGAACCAGGGTGTGCCCGGAGAGGGTTAAAGCTCCAGAATGTTCCAGAATCGATATCTGGGTCATGGGATTTTACCTTCTTTTTTACGGTTGTCTGTCTCTCTCTCTCTGTCTGATTTTCTGTGGGGGAGGGGTGTGTTTTTCTGGTAATTTCAAACAAAGGCAACACTCCTGGGCGACTGGTGCCAAGTGTGTCCCAGGAGGGGGTGGGACAGCACTGGGCCTTGGGTCAATCCTGGCGTCATCCAGCCACTCCAGGGTCTCCATGAGCCCCTTCCCCAGCCAACCGGGTGGGAGACCTTTGCATACCCACCTCATCACCTTGCCCCCGTCGCCCACCCGCTGGCTCAGCCCCTTCTCCTGGATGAGAAAGTTAGATTTGAAATTCACAACCTGCTCCTTCCCTGTTCAGTGATCTCATGGAAAGCATTTAAAATCATATTCTGAGAGCCGCCTCCAGACAAACAGGAGGAGATTTAAAAAATTAATAAAGACCCACCATGTAAGACAAGACAAGGCACCTGACCGGGCTCTGTGTGGCTAAATTCCTGCGGACTCTAACTTGCTGTGAGGTGCGTTGCTCTCGGCTCGGCTGTGACTGGTGTCCTTGTGTTGCCTGTTTGCAGGCTTCTGTCTGGGTCTGAGTTGGTTGGAGGGGGCCGGGTTGGGATGAAAAAGTCCCTCTGAACAGTCCCTCTTTCCTCTTGGCCATTAATATCCCAAATGTATTCATGAATTAGAAGCGGCAGCTTGATTTGTAAATGTCAAGTAAGCAGCTAAAAAATTGATAAGGACAGGTTCTCCAGCTATAAAGAGTGAACGCAGAAGGAAAACTTGCTGAAAATGGCAAAGAATGTGCAGGTGGCTCCTTGCTCCTCACCAGCCTCAGGGAGCTCACAGCTGGACGGATCAGTCCGCGGTGCCAGTGCAGGGAGGTGGGGCGGCTGGAGGCCAGGCAGCTGTCTTCACCCCTGTTTCCTCCTCTTCTTTGCTGTGTGACCTCAGTCCAGTCTCTCAACCTCTCTGTGCCTCACCTGTAGAACGGGGAGAATTGTTTTCCTGCCGTAGGGCTGTGGGGGAGGGTTGATGAATAATATTCCCATGCAGCGCTTCGCCCAGTCCGGTCACCACGGGAGCCCTGTCATTGTGAAATGGCTCTCATGGTGAACAACTTGCCACTCCGTCATCCTTGCCCCACACAAAACAGATTCCTTGACTTCAACACCAGCAGCACCTTTTCCCTCCAGCCACACCAGGCGGCTGGACTCCTCACTCATAGAACAAGCTCCCCTCCCTGGTCCTGGGCCCGTGCTCCACTCACCCCTCCAGAGCTGCCCGTTGTGAAGCCTCCCCCACCCCGCTGGGCAGAGCTGTTCCCTCCTCCTCTGTACGCCCAGAGCTCCAGGTCTGGGCTCTGGCAGTGGCTCTCACCTTGTGGCAGGGGGAGTGTCTCCCACCTTCACCAGCAGCCCCTGGAGGGGAGGGTCAAGGCTTCATGCCCAGTGCCAGCCAGGGGAGCCCTGGACAGAGAGGAGTGTGCGGCCGTGAGAGGCATGCTGGCCCCGCAGACACAGCCCTGTCTGTGAGCTGGCCATGGTGACCCCAGCAGGGCAGGGTGCGCCTGAATGCCGCCGGGTGGGCCACCAGTAAATGGGGGCTTCAAGGAGGGCAGCACTGTGACACAGACCAGTGTGAGCCATCGCTGTTGCC